TCTTTGACACTTTGAGTCCTTGAACAAGAACGTCACCCTTTGTAGTATGGATAAACTAATGTCCTTGAGGCAGCCAAGAAAGGTACATGCCAAACCCTTGGAGAACACAACAAAGCAAACAACACCCATTTTTAAAACCCTGAGTTTTGAGTGACTTGTACGGACAGCAGTGACTGGCGAGTCAAGGAGTCAATAGCGTGACGCCCCTCTACCCAAAGAAGCACGACCAGTGCGGAGTGAAGCCAAAACCGGGGCACAGCTGCGGTGCTGTCACTGAGCACAGCACGTCCTACATCCGATGGTGGGACCGAAGCAAAAGCCAGGGCCAAGCCGCAGCCCGAGTTCACTTGAATGACAATAAATATGGTCCAGGTCCACGGTGAGGGACAGATGGATCGGTGTACGGCTGTGACCCAGATGGCTGTAGCTTTGAGAAGGAGGAGTTCTTGAACACCATGCAGCATGCACACCATCATGACCAAGAAGCAGGCCCTGATGCAGACCAGAAGGAGCAAGGGTGGTACAGCAAACCAGAGATGCGTGACGAGTTGGGCTGGAGCTAGACTTGTCAGTCGACTGTTGCAAAGGCAACGCCTGAGACATGCGAGGCATTGCGTGCACTATGGAGTGGAAGAGTATTGGGTGACTGTCAGAGAGTTTGGGCAGCAGACGACAGAGTCTACCTGTGAAGATGCTAGACTTAGATTACCACATCCTTTGCTGTTGCTGAAGCCCGAAGTAAGCTCCCATTGATGTGGGCCCTGGGAAAGCTGCGCTTCTCCCATCTTCGTGTTTGGTGTCACCCATTAGAACCCACCTGGAGGTCACCCACCCCGGTGCCAGGACGTGGAAGAGGGCGCCGGCGTGCAGGCGCGCGCCGGTCGCGCCGGGTAGGGCCAGCATGCATGGTGCCGGGCTATGCCGGGGGGCACGACACCAAAGGGTGTGGTCCAAAGTTGCTATAATGCCTTTGCTTAGGTTGACGACTATGCATTATGGCTACAGCTTCCTCTTTGTTTGGCTGGAGAATGGGACGGTCATCGTTGTTGCACGTTTGGGGTTCTTTTGGACCCCGGCTCACAAGTTAAAGTTCACCATGTTGGTGTGATTTTACATGTTGTTTACATGCTATTCTTTTTCCCACTGATGCCGGAGCACCTCGCAATCAGTCACCAATGAAGTGTGTTTGCTTGTTGTTTTTGCTTCGACCCTCTACTAGGCATGCCAACCCATTTTTGGGGGTTGGAACGGTCTTCACCGCCCAACACTCCGATGTGACAGATTGGCCGTCCACTTTATAGTCGCACTACAACCACGTCCTCCTAAGGTAGTTAGACCCCCTGGCTGGTGAACAGATCGACGACTCCTACTCCTGGTCTTCGGGATTTTCGGCCCCGCTTCACGTTGCGGTAGAAGGGCTTAGCTCTAAACCTGGCAGTCCTTGTTCGGGCCAAACGATGCCAAAAGCATCCACCTTGGGATTTCCCATGATTTCCCTCAACATGTTTTGGGGGATTTCTCCCACTTTCCCCCTCCACCTGGTGCATCCACCTTGTGCGATATGACTTGGAGGGCTCATAGCCTTCCGCCTTTGTCCTTCGTTTCGCTTCGGTTCTGGCCCGCCGTGCAGATCACTGCGGAGGGGACTGAGTGACCTGGCTTCCCAGATGGGGAGCAGAGTGGGTGGGGTGAAAGCGCTTCACTGGATTGTTGTGGTTTCAAAGGCTTTGAAGGTGAAGTCAGGTGAGGTCATGTTGTTGTGGTTTTGGTTTCAGGCTTTCTTGATCTGGTTTCAAGCACCCAAGGTCAGGAGGTTGCTAAGGAAATTTGTGGCTCGCTCTTGACCCCGCAAAGAGGGAGAACGCACGACAACGGGACGAGAACGGATCGTGGTCGCTGGCACTCTTGTCGTCCTCGTGGTCGCCGGATCGCATGCCACCCCGTGAGCCATAGAGATGCCCACATGGATATGTTAAATATGGCAGTCCCATGGAGTCTTCGGGACTCAAATCACCAATTCTTGGCCAACCGTCATGACCTTTTCAATCCGCGAGACCTCGCCGGGGTCCACGCATGGCACGGCATGGCAGGCGACGAATCCCCCACGGTCTGGGTGGTGAGAGTTTTCGGTATAGCGAGAAGTAACATATGCCATTAACTAAGGTCAGGAACACAACTGTTTGGGTATATATATATATATATCGTATATATGTTCTTCTATAGGATGGCTCAATGGATTCCATTGGCTGTGAGATAAAGGGGATCATTTGCGCATCTTTGTTCATCATATTTCATCAATTCGATGGAAGATGGAGCAGTTCAACACCCACGGATGTATATCTAAAAGCAAAGGCTGAAGGAAGACGTTAGAAATCCTATAGTGGGGATACTAATTATCCTTTGCTGTGGGGAACTGAGGATGCCCCACATGTATGTCAACGTTCAACTTCCACGAAATCATTTGTATCTAGGATGACTAGCGATACGAATTAGCGTGTTTGTTTTTTTTTCTGTTTGGGACATGTAGCAACTTGGTGTTCTTCTGGGCCTTTGGTTCAGAACTGTGCTTCAGACCGCGGTCTTCACCGATGGGCGATGAGGCATGCTTGTGCGGTGGGAATTGCGACGATGTCCACTGAAGCCATCCGGAGCGTGAACAAAGGCTGGCGCCGACGAACGTCTCATCAGCCCTCTGTGGGGGGTGGGGCACAAAAGCACAAGAACCGCGGACGAGGTGAGGACCGGTGAGGTGTCCGAAAATGTCCTCCTTGTTTCGGAAGGCGTGGTGCCAGTGTCAGTTTCAAGGAATGTAGACTGTTGATCAATAGAACCCCCCTACCAGAATGGTTTTTCATCTCCATCAGGGGATAAGGATAAGGGTGGCTTTATCGATGAACAGTAGTCTACATCAAGTGGTCCACAGGTTCCGTTCCTCCTGGTTTGGGGGGCCAAACAGAATGACATGTTGGGATTAACCTCCTCTGTAACTCACCCAGCAGCTTCCGCTTTCACACCTCCAAACAGAGTTCAAATACGGTCAGGTTGACGAAGTGCGAGAGTCGTACAGGACCCGGAAGACCCACTAGGTATTAAATGTCTTGCTGATAAAAGGCCGCAAGTCCTGTCCCAGGAGCTGCTCCGGACCAGGTCAGTGACAACCCTGAACAGTTCAGTCGATCCAGGTTTAAAGGGACGTAACACTCTGTGAATTTTTGCCCAGTTCATGACCTAATTTGGGGCAGTTGCAAGTTGTCCAGGTTTGTCCCGAATCAAACAAACATCCTCAAGGACTCAAGTACCATTGCAGACGCTGCATGGGACTTAACCCTGAAATCAACCACCCCTGGCCTGATCGGCAAATAGTCCAGTCCCATGGAGTGTTTGGGCGAGCCGTTTTGCGATGGGAACCAACCTGCCACCGCTCAAACCAACACCTGGGGAACACCAACTTTCGCGTGATTGGACAAAAAAAGCAGACCCAACATGGGTTGGTCTTCGGACATTCTCAAACCTGCGCTTCTGTTCAGGGGGCGATGGATGGCAATGTTGGTTGAGTAAAGACCCTTCTGCGGTGTGATCAAGAGCCTCACTGCCAAGACCCGAAAAGCAAATGAATATTAAGCCAACTCTGACACTGTAAGCGGAAGCAATCCTGCACGACGTGACAGAATGAACCACTCAGCATTTACGTGTGTGTGTGTGTGTTGGTCGTGCAGGATGTGTTCGTCAAGAGTACCACCAGGCTAATATGATCTACAGTATGTTGTGTCATGTTGCATCATGTGTTAAATCACTTCGGTCCATGTGGAATCCATCTTTTCGATCTTTCTTTTTGTTTTTTGTCCCTCGACTGAACCCGAAAGCCCCTCATTCGCACGCGCGCTTTTCTGCCAGGGATTTGCATCGACAAGATCCACTACTTGGATGATGGGCTGTGGAAAATCGTGGAGTTGAATTAAAGTACAGGAAGCCTCCCATAGGGGTTACAGTAAGCCCTCGAAGCACGGTTGGGAACCTGGTAAAGGCACAGATTAGGGGAGGGACATGTGAGAAGGCTTCAACACCGTTCAACTCGACACGATTTGACGGATATGCGCGCGTGGAGGAGAAAAGGTGGACGGAGCAGTTGTTCCAATTCAGGGTGGTTTTGCTGTTTTCGGTTTCGCCATGTGGAGAGAAAGGGATTCCGGAACCATGGAGAAGGACATCTCTTTGGGCAATCAGTTTGGAACATCTCCTTGGGACGAGTTCTCTCAGACATTGAGAGATGAGGATCTCCATCCTTCACTTGGGCGTTGGGTAGTTTGCCTGCTGTTACGATAGATGTGGAACATGGCCTCATGTCTGACAAAAATTCCCGATTCCCCATGTTCTATTTGCTTCAATGTGTGTTCCTCACACTGAAGTGATTTGCACCTGAATATATTGGAGGAAATGACGAGACATTCTCTACCGCCTTCACCAGGCTACCTTTTCCAGCTGTCAGCTGTTTGGTGTTGGGTCTCAAACCTGTCTAGTCTAGTAAGGGAAGCAGGCTCCCGCTGCTGGATTTGTTGCTTTGCCTCGCACCTTGGTGACGTTCCCTGTTTGGGGCACAGAAGTGTCTCCATCCAACCCATGCACCCCATCCAGACATGACAGCCTATCATCCGTGCTAAAAAGAAGCTGTGTATGAAAAGTTGCCCTGGAGTGCCACTAAATCTACATGGGTGCTTTAGCATCATGTTTCCCCATCCAAGCCCACCAGTCTGGCAGTTCCTAGTCTCCCCTTTTGTTGTCTCACCTGCTCACTTGAGCGCCAGGCAGTCCACGAACACCACGAAGACATCACACAAAGAGTGTTATACAATAATCCTGGGAAATCATCTTGGCTTGTAGAGGACTTCCATTTCGTTCCTGCTTTCTTCGGATCTTCATCCATGCCATCCACAACCCCCAACCGCGGCAGTCCCATCGACAGCATCGGCATCCATCAGCATCCACTGCCACAGCGACCTGAGGCACCTTGTACCGACAGCTGGGCGGAGCCATCGAGAAGGAGGTGGGTCTACACAGCCACCGACTAACGATGCTGTTTGAAGTCGTAGGAAGAGGCGCCACTCGAAGTCATTGAATCTTTGGAGGTGAGATGAGGTGAGTATCCCAGACGCTCCAAACAGCCCTTGGTCCCTCACAACCCAGGGATTTGAGGCCCCAGACCCCTGTTTGTTGTCACTAATAGTTCTTTGCCGCTTCCAACTCCAAGCCTCCCGTGATTTGTCGCATTTTGCCTCATGTCATTCACATGCCGATGGCCGAAGCACGCGTCTGACACGACGCGTTTTCTTCAGTCCAGCAAGCCCTATGCCACGTCCGCTTCGGACTTTCGCCTCGAAGTAAAGGACATGTTTGCACTCGGGTCCGGCCATCAAGTCAGAATCTGTAGTAGTAGTCAACCTGCAACCTGCACAGGGGTATTGAAAGTAGTCAACCTGCAACCTCCGACAGACTTTGTTCTTGCCGAACTATCGCGGCATATCGCAGCTGTTAGTGTCCCTGTCGACCTTAGTTAGTTGGAGGGTCCTCGTTTGTGTTGTTTTGTTTGATCGAATGCATTTGAGAGTTCATGGTCTTGATTTGTTCGATCACGTATTTCTTTTGTTGTTTGTAGTGTTCCATGTCAAAAAGTGTTTGTCTCTATTTAAATCTTGTGTCCAGCAACCCCCAAGGCCATAGTTCTCAAAGCGACAAAGCACCTACATAGCCGCCCCTCCTCCAGGCGGCTGAACATGGCTGTTCTGTGGTGTACGGGGTGCCCAGCAACCGATTGGCCCTCCCAGATGAACGGCGATCAACACCGTTGAGCCATGCTACGTCATGGTGAGTCAGAGGTGATTCGCAAGCTGGGATGATAGCCAGTCATGTGTTCATGTTTTAGTACGTTGCTAGCCATGATACCCCGGAACATCCTGGAATAATAGCCGAGTGTCTTTTGTGAATGCACAATTGAATGCTGGTTTTGCTGTATTTGAGACTTTGAGTGAGATTTATGGTGACTCGGCGATAGTTGGAGGGGTATCTGACGTCTAGTTACGTGCCGTCCGAACCAGAAACAGTTCTGGATTGAACTCCACCGTCCCGAAGCAACTGTGTCCATGCAAGGGATCTCAAGCAAGCCATATGATGGGTCATGGCACCTGCCCCACCAAACCATGGAAGATTTATATCCCGAACCTAGAGGAATCTGTTCATTTGATCCGGGGGGGTCTGGCCCAGGGTGCCCTTGTTTTGACAGTTGCCATAGCTTGGAAAGGAACCTTCGAAGTGTTGGACCGTCCTCAGGACCGCCTCGGTAGCACGACGGCTCGTTGGCTCACCTTAGGACCGCCTTTTGTGGACATGGTGTGGGCCGACTCTTTCATGGCCCTCCGGATGTCTGGGCCAAAGAAAGGATTGCAGGACTGGCTACCTGGAGTCCCATCCAGTGACCGAACTCCCGTGACCTTTTTGAGGTCGAAGTGACCTCAAAAACTGGGCATGAAAGGGTCACTTTGAAGAAATAGGGAGTTGTTCTTTTGTTTCAGTGCCTCAATGCGCTTCAATCATCACGGACGAAGTGAGGTATATAATTACAGTAGATGATGGACAAATCATGATATATAAATTAGTTCCGCGAGAGTCTTTGTATCTAGGGGGTGACTCTAAAAGAATGAAGTGCGGCACACGGGTCGTCTTGCAACGTCATCGATCGATCCGAACCGTGTTTGTTGATAGAGCAAAGTGAGATGACTGAGTTGCAGGGCTCCTAGCCGTGGGTATGTCGTGGAAGCGTTTTCTTCAAAGTCTCACATGCCAGCAGTTCCATGTGCAGTTCCTTGGGAGGATAAATAGGGGGTGCCCCTGTCACATCCACTCACTGGATGGCACTCACATGCCCGCTATGGAACTCCTGGTGGCATGGTGAATTGCGTTGATGCAGTGCAGGACCAAAAGTGGGAGAGCAGACCATCACCCCGCGCGATTGGTAGTTTAGTATTGGCATGCACCTTAACACTACTCCTGCACCCCAAGTACTGTTGCAAGATTTCTATCTATCATCTATCATCTATGGGGTTTTGATCGGGAGATGTGCATGCTGCAAGCACGCACATATTGTTTCAGGATTGTTGAAACACACCCATCATCACCCATCGCACGCTTGTTCACCGTCCTTGAACTTCGCGCCCAATGGTGAAAGAGATCAGTTGCGCTCGCAACTTGCACCAAGTCGCGCAACCCTGAGATTCCTCACTTCAAGAAGAACAAGGCCGTTGGCGTCATGAAGCCTGGCCATGTCCGGAACCACAGGGGAAAACAAGCGCGGCTTGTTTGCTTGGGTGGCGGATCAGATCGGGCATGGGGTAGGTGTCCAGACTTGTTCCTCGGGATTGTGCCAGACTTTTCTTTGCCTTTTGACCTTCTGATTCATGAAGTCAAACCAAGTTAACTTGGACTCCCTGCCCGTTTTTTGCTCTGAATTTGGAGTCACCCGGGCTATTCCTTGTTCTTGCTCGTCATTGGGCTCCCGCTCACCTCGGATTGGTGCGTGGAGGTCTTCACCGTGGAGCCGATGCTCAACTTGGGCACCTGCAAAGAGAGGTGGTTTTGGGAATCGAGAGAGTCGTTGTGGTCATGGGTTCTGGATCCACCGTGAGGTGACTGGAACATGAAACTTATTGTGTGATTAAATATGTTTTGTTTGCCCGACGTGCATAAAATACATAAACTGCACAACCTGCAATATATTTTTACTATATATATATATATAGACCAGTACCCCACTCTACAGGTCTTCTCTGGTGGCAGATGGAGACTTAAAAGTACCAGGTGGTGACCTGTTGGAGGGTGCTGGTATGCATAATCATATTTTAGTGAAGTATATTATCACACCCAGTATCACACCCTTATGCTCCAAGGACTACAGAGCCATTCCAAGCAGCAGAGAACTTAGGAAGGTTGATTGGCCGTGATCGACCTCAAGATGCCTCTCCGATGTTCAGACAGGTACTTTTTAGATCTTTTTAGCACATGCTTGAAGCACTCCCTGATAATGCTGTTTACATGCAGTTTAACAGCATGTTCTTTTCCTGAAGTTGTGAGCGACAAGTCGAAAGGACTTGGTAACCAGGTCCATCCAAGTTCAAGTACTTTAACCTATAGTTGACCATTTGTCAATCTCGAAAATGGTGTCCATCCAATACTGGATTATAGTCATCCTGGAGTGGATAGAATGTGGGAAAAATCAAAACAATAAGACATCGGGCATGTTTTTGGATGGGTTCATATTCTATCTACTCCAGGACTCCAGGACGGCAAGTTTGGATGGCTGGGAACTCCAGTATCTCCAATGGTCTATTGCACTCGCTCAATTGTTCGGGGGTACTTTCGAGAAGCATTGATGCCCCAATTAAAAGGCACAACCATCTCCTGCATGTTTTTTTTCCAGCCTCCCTAAGTTCAAGGCGGCCTCTGTAGCCACGTCCAACCCCATCCAACAGCTCAAACTACGCACCTGTCCAACATATCTGGCCAGCCCGAGCTTGTACTCCCAGGGTGTGGCCGGATGGATGGACGGCTTGTACCCGGGATGGCCGGCGCTCCGCACAGTTTGAGCACAGCTTCCTGGTCACCGAGGACCAGCGCCCGTCGTGTGTTTGTTGAGCAAGGCCTTACTTGAGCAGCGGCCCTGGGGCCCCTACAAGACAGGCTCACCCGGTCTTCCCATAATATGGGTCAACGTTGTTTGAAGTGCATTTTGAACTCCTTTGAAATGCGCATGGGTACTGTTGACATACCCAGACACTCCATGGGACTGCCATAGGACTGCCGATCAGTTGGGGTGGTTGAAAAGGGGTCAATGTAGACATATAATACCATACATGGAGTGACTGGGATATATGGTGCCCCGCCCCCGGGGATAAAGACTAGTCTCAACCTTTGATGGTTCCGTAGTGTTTGGCTCTAGGTTTTCATGCCCTGCCTCGGTTGCCATAGCAGGCTGAGGCTGTCGGTGGGTACCTCGGGCCGGTGTAACGCCTGTTACTTGGTCGATCGCATTCACCGAGTGGCCGAAACTCGGTATCCACCGGCAAAGGCTGAGGAACTGACCCATTTCCTGGCCAAGGTGCTCCACACCCTTGAGGCGGACACCGAAACTTTCGAGGCCGACCGCACGTCAGGCCTGGTGGACATTGAGGGCTATTTGGTGGAGGTGCGCAAGGTGGACAAGACAGCACTGTCACCAAAGTTGAGCGCGGGGGTTCACCCTGGAAAGCAGGACCCAAAAGCATCCTCAGCGGCACCGAGCAAAGGGGCAAAGCAAGTTGAGAGTGGCGGGGCATCAGAGAACCCTGGCAAGCAGAGGAGGCGCAGGCGTGAGGACAAGACAAGGTCTCGCAGCCGAAGCCGACGAAGGGAGAAGAAGAAGGTAAAGAAGGAACCTACTCCGGAGCCGGAGGAGCCGGTTGCAGCGGAAGCTGAAATTGAGGAGGAGGAAGCCGAGGCTGAAGTGGAAGCAGAAGCTGAAGTGAAGGACGAGGAGGTTGAGGACACCCCTCACGACGACGAAGTTAGCCCGGACACCGAGGTCGCCAGAGATCCAAAGGCTGCAGGACTTCGACAGGTCCCGCCAAAACCCTCAGCGAGGAAGCCATTGCCGAGGAGACCCCGTACTCCGTCAAGGTCACCGCCCGGTTACCGTGGAGGAGGATCTCAACCGGCGAAGAAGTGGAAAGGGATCAAGCATATCATTCGGGGGCAGGCCCTGGGTTATAGCGACTACGGACGACGTCCAAAGGGGAAAGGAAAAGGGAAATGGCGCCGAAAGTGAGGAGGCCAGCAGCGGCCGCAAGGCCCGACCGAAGGAGGAGAGGTGTTCTTCGACCTGCAGCCCATCACGAAGATGTCGGAGCAGCGGGGGAGGGAGCCCTGGCATGGGATCCGAGTGTCGGCGATTTGGTGATTGCCGAGGGGGCCCATTACTACGGAGCAGCCTGCCGGTTCACGGGACGCATCCTCGAAGACTCGAGGGACGCGGCAGGACGGCACCTGGCTATTCGACTTCATGGCACAGATCACGAACCCCTGTTGACGTGGGCCACCGGGGCATCAGTCCCTGCTCGCGTGCACCTTTGCCCCGAAGGGTGTTCGAGGGAGTCGGAAGGGCCAGGTCTCCTACACTGCAACGATCTCCGCAGCATCAAGTCCTTAGAGGAGCTAGTCGGAGTCCCTTGGCGCGACGTTCTGCTAGAAGGGAGGCCCAAAGCAGAGGACGAGCTAGCAGGCTTGAGGTCAAGGATGGATGGCATCGGGGGACCAAGCCCTGGAGCAGTTGCAGCCGTCGCCGAGATCGAGGAGAAGGAGAAGAAGGAGAAGGCCGAGAAGGAGAAAAAGAAATCAAAGAAAAAGAAAAAGAAAAAGCGCAAGCGGGGGCGGTCATCAAGGTCCCGAAGCGAAGGTTCGAAGAAGGAGAAAGAAAGGAAGAGAAAGGCAGACGCGGGGAAAAGCCCTGTGAGCTCATCCAGCACGACAAGCAGCTCGTCCACGGTCGAGTTCAAGGCAGTGTCACAAGAGGAGCTCTTCCGAGGGTCAGGATTGGACCCCAACATCAAGACACGAAGAAAGCAACGCCGTCAAGCACAGCGTTTGGCCCGGCGGTCTCACCACCAGAAGGACGAGAGCAAGTCGGCATCGTCGGACGACGGAAGGGAGCTGGGGTTGAAGGGAGATCAGGTTTTCGGCGAACCTCAGAGAATCCGAGCGATCGCTCTTCAATACCCCGGCGTCCTCAGTGCCCAAGCAATCGACCAGATGCAGGACCTTTTGGTGCAGGAGCTCGGCCAAGATCGACATCGAGAAGGTCAGTGGAGCGCGACATATCTCAGATACTTCAGACAAACGCTCTTCCGCAAGATGTCGGGGCCGATGTGCAGAGAAGCCCAAACGCTTGCGACAATAGGAGATCAATTATTGAAGGGCTTGCCGAGAGGATCCAAAGGTGTCCTTTGGACATCGTTATCTATACAAACAGCGTTATGCTTCCGTATGTTGTTGATGCTTCCGTAGGAGCATTTTTGTTTGTACCTGCTCATGCAACATGGTAGCCAGCCATGACCTATAGCTCAGCTACCATGGCCTCACCTGAGCTTCCCAAAAAAAGTTGCCAAGCAAGAAGTACATGTGACGCTTTGCCTGCCCACCCGCCCAGTCACCGTGTTGGTACCGCTGATTGCACAGCGCCTCATCCCAAATGAAAAAAGATGCCGTGGATGGTTCGATGCTTTGGTAGATTGTGGCAGCCCGCCCGCCCAGTCACCATGTTGGCATGGCTGATTGCACAGCGCCCCATCCCAAATGAAAAAGTGATGCCGCGGGTGGTTTCGATGCTTTGGCAGCCCACCCGCCCAGTCACCATGTTGGCATTGCAGGTTGCACTGCGCCTCATCCCAAAAGAAAAGAAAAATTGGTTGTCCCACGCAAAAACATGTGAACACAGACACACACACACACGTGCCCACCTACATGTGGAACACACGCCGTAACAACCTGGAATGTTTGTGTTTAAAGCAGTGAATTGAATATGTGTATTCTTTGGGCCCTCCCGGCCCTTCAGGCAAGACAGTGTGGGCACTTCGCAAACAAATTGTGTTTGCGATTTTTTCGACAGACCCTCACTTCCGGTGTCAAGCTGTGAGAGTGTTTTGCACATGGATGGCAGTGCTGAGCTAGCCCGTCCGCCGCTCACCGGCATATTTTCCACATCTGCAAGGACGCGGCGATTAGATAACAGTGAACTCAGATTGTGAAACAGGAACCAGTGGCTTTCTAGCCTTTACACTTTACACGTTTACATCGGGCGAAGCGAGTACCCCAGAACATACCCCAGATACAGTGAACTCAGATTGAACCAGTGGTTTTCTAGTCTTTACACTTTACACGTTTACATCGGGCGAAGCAAGTATACCCCAGAACATACCCCAGATTTAAAATGCAACCAGTCAAATTGTATCGCTGCGCGTTCTGTCAGGGTTTTACTTTCAGGGGGACTCTGAAAGTCATGGGGATGGCCTGATGGTGGTCGGCCTGCCGTTGGGAAGCCAAGAGTTCCGAGCGTTCTGAGTGAGACTGATCACAGCAGCTTTCAAGTTCCAAGTGATGGGACGTAGACTGCATTGGTGGCCCCTCCTTCACAGTTTTCAGCGGTCAAGTGAGGGACCTCTTGTCTTCATGAGTTTCGCATGCAGCAACCCAAGCCAAAAGGTCTTTTGAACACCCATGTAACAAACAAATCATGCCTGGAAACTGTGATCAAGTCTGTATGCAACATCTAAATGGGCAGGTTGCCCTTGGGGTGCCACTCGAATTTTCTTTATCAGTTCATTGGTCTGCTGGACACATCCCTACAACCATCAAGTGGCGCCCCATCCGCGAGGTGTGGACCTCAGCGAAGCCGAAGCCTGCAAGACCTGTGAAGAGGCAGCTTGAGGGATTGGGTGGGCTCGAAGGGATTTGGATCGATTTGGTGTGGACTCGATCGAGGCAGGTGTTTCGAAGGGTCAGGAACGTTTGGATTGAAGTAATCGCAGTTTGAAAGCTCCACTATACTTTCATCCAAAACATGTTTGATCGAAAGGCGTTTCAAAGGTCAGGATCTATAGATCTGTATTTGACACCTTCGGCCCGTGTATCATGGCTGGCGCGGCCGGTGTGATGGTGGAGTTTGATGATCAGATGGGAAGAAGGCAAAGCACATGGAAGTCTGTTCGTCGCTTTGCTGGCAAGGGGGGAGCCAATTTGTTCTTGTGGGCGAAACTTCCTGTCTAAACAGCATAAAGATCAAATTGTCCTGCCATCACCTGCCAAAAGAAATCAACCCACTATCTGACAATCCCAGGTCCAGGCAAAGTGCCATGGAATGAGGCGTTTGTGGCCGCCTGCAATGATTTGAACATATATTTGTATTTTGTGGGTTGTCGCTGAATCCCTTCCCTCCAAATCTCCAAATACCGTCCACCCACCACGTCGCTGGTCTTGCCTCCATCAAGGCTGAAGTCGCCCGGTCCATGTTGAGGGCAATGCCTAACAGGGCCAAAGAAATCATTCGTGGTGGCGACTTTACTGGTGCAGACCTGGTCCAGGTTGCTTCGGATTTGCACCGCCCCTCCTTCAAGGATTGGGATTTCGTTCTCCAATGTGTGGGGTCTCTAGGATAAGCCCTGTGTTTGATGTTGAAACATGTTAAAAGTTTAGAACTGGGCAAGTCGGTGGTCTGTGAGTTATCAACGCAGGAGATTGCGCAGAACTTTGTATTCCTGCGCCCCCTGGTCCAGCATTTTCCTGACCATGTGCCTGGAGGGGTGCTCTTGACTGACATCTGGTTGTATCTGGACAGCCTCTTCGACCAGAAGTTGCTCTGCAAGCCAGATGTACCCAAACAAACACAGGCTGCCAACGAAGCCTCCAGATGCAAGCGTTTGATCGGCGCCTTGCGCTATCTCTACAGGAATAGTGCCTGGTTGAGATAGCTCTTGTTTTTTCATTTCAACCCCTTGAGAAGCTGTTTTGGTGATAGTTCGTCCAACTTGGAAGTGCGTATGAATATGTTTCTCACTCACACAGTTGTGTGATTCCCTGAG